TTTCTTCTTTGTCTCTTCCTCCATCTTTCTGTCTAAAATGTGAATGTGATGGTTAGAATTCTACCTACCAGATAAAAGCAACATTCCAAGGAATAGGGGACAATGAACTGGAAGAAACCTGGCTCTCTGAAGAGTCGTGGAACAAAGCAATCATAACAGCCGTAGACTGCCTATCTCTTTTCGTAAAGTCTCCTCTGGTCCCTGCAGACAGAATAACCCACTTCCTTCAACATTCTTATGGTACTTTGTACAGATCTTTCCTCTAGTTCATATGCTATTGAATTAAACTTTTCTCGTGCACAGGGGTAGCAAAGCAAAATCCATCCTGATTGACTGACAGTGGATATTGTATTGAGAAGGTACCTGAGCTTAAGTTTTTGTAAAGTGGAAAAGAAAATTCACAAGTGATTGGTGTTAGTGCCATGGATATGGGGGAAGAAGCTAATAATTTACTCTACAGATTTGCCACCTCTGAACTAGGCAAATATCTATTTCATTTTTCAACTATGATTTATTAATGATAGGAACCAATTTTTAAAATTTTCTACTTCCAGTGCCCAACTAGATCACAGGGTAGAATGCAAATTGCATGAGTTTTAAAGGTAAAATGAGACACCCAAATTAACTTTCCAACTGTGAGAAGCCACTTTGAGGTACTTATTCATTCTCCTCTTGCTTGGTTATACTTCAGTGGGAAAATCTGAGATACCTGGGAAATCAGGAGGTGAAGAATAGCAATGCTATCCTACTGGAATTGCTGAAACATGAACATGGTGATTTATTTTCTAAAAATACATTACTGATTTTTTTTTTTAAGAAGATGTTGGGGGTAGGAGTTTATTAATTTATTTATTTATTTTTGCTGTGTTGGGTCTTCGTTTCTGTGTAAGGACTTTCTCTAGTTGTGGCAAGCGGGGGCCACTCTTCATCGCAGTGCGCGGGCCTCCCACTATCATTGAATGTGATGGTTAGAATTCTACCTACCAGATAAAAGCAACATTCCAAGGAATAGGGGACAATGAACTGGAAGAAACCTGGCTCTCTGAAGAGTCGTGGAACAAAGCAATCATAACAGCCGTAGACTGCCTATCTCTTTTCGTAAAGTCTCCTCTGGTCCCTGCAGACAGAATAACCCACTTCCTTCAACATTCTTATGGTACTTTGTACAGATCTTTCCTCTAGTTCATATGCTATTGAATTAAACTTTTCTCGTGCACAGGGGTAGCAAAGCAAAATCCATCCTGATTGACTGACAGTGGATATTGTATTGAGAAGGTACCTGAGCTTAAGTTTTTGTAAAGTGGAAAAGAAAATTCACAAGTGATTGGTGTTAGTGCCATGGATATGGGGGAAGAAGCTAATAATTTACTCTACAGATTTGCCACCTCTGAACTAGGCAAATATCTATTTCATTTTTCAACTATGATTTATTAATGATAGGAACCAATTTTTAAAATTTTCTACTTCCAGTGCCCAACTAGATCACAGGGTAGAATGCAAATTGCATGAGTTTTAAAGGTAAAATGAGACACCCAAATTAACTTTCCAACTGTGAGAAGCCACTTTGAGGTACTTATTCATTCTCCTCTTGCTTGGTTATACTTCAGTGGGAAAATCTGAGATACCTGGGAAATCAGGAGGTGAAGAATAGCAATGCTATCCTACTGGAATTGCTGAAACATGAACATGGTGATTTATTTTCTAAAAATACATTACTGATTTTTTTTTTTAAGAAGATGTTGGGGGTAGGAGTTTATTAATTTATTTATTTATTTTTGCTGTGTTGGGTCTTCGTTTCTGTGTAAGGACTTTCTCTAGTTGTGGCAAGCGGGGGCCACTCTTCATCGCAGTGCGCGGGCCTCCCACTATCATGGCCTCTCTTGTTGCGGAGCACAGGCTCCACACGCGCAGGCTCAGTAGTTGTGGCTCACGGGCCTAGTTGCTCCGCGGCATGTGGGATCCTCCCAGACCAGGGCTCGAACCCGTGTCCCCTGAATTAGCAGGCAGATTCTCAACCACTGTGCCACCAAGGAAGCCCTACATATTACTGATTTTTATCTTTGGATTCAATCAAACAGAAGATTATTTCTTGTGAGAAAAATTCCTCTGAATCAGGGTTCTGGCGAATGACTAATAGAATAGATGGGAGCCTGATGAATAGAGTATCTATGGCCAGTTGAGGTTCCTCCCTCCAAATTCTAAAAGTAAGGGTTTCTGAACAAGACCAAAGCAACACAGATATATTTTCCTGCTCTGATCTCAGATTCCTTCTCCCATTCAAGGCTAGTTCCTCTTCGTACTGCAGACCTCAGCCTCTCCTGTCTCCTAAGCGGCCTCTCTACATCAAATAAATACCCCTTTCCTGAATCCTCATCCTTTCTATGAACTTGTTTCCTTTAGCAACATATTAAAATCTCCCCCACCCTGAAGCCCTAGGCCCTACTCACTGTTTAAGATGTGTTCCATGCTAGAGATGGTCTTTCTTTGTTCTTCTTAATAGCCAAGCTTCTGAAAGAAAAGCTGATGCTACCTGCATTCCCTACTTCCTTTTCCACCACACTCCACAGAAGCTGCCCTTACTGAAGAAAAAAAACCTCTTTTTTTCTAAACTCCGAAAAGCCTCTTTAGAGAGGCAGGATAGGGTAGTGGTAACAAGCACAGACTCAGAAGCCAGACTCCCAGTGTTTAAATCCCCATTCTGCCTCTTAACAGCTGCATGATTTTGCCCAAATTACTTATCCTCCTTGTACCTCATCTTCCTCATCTATAATATGGGGTTATTGTGAGAATTAAAGCACACAGTGTTGTTGGATGATTGAGCTAATACTGTAAAGTGCCTATAACAGCACTTAGAACATAGTAATTCTCATGTAAACTTTATACAATGTTCTTTGGTGCTATCTCATCTGATCCCGTTATTTGACATTGCTCTCAATAACCTTTTAATTGAGCCTCTCCTCCCTTGGTTGCCATGACCCTTTTTTTCATTTTCCTAATTTTCTGGCTACTCTACCTTATTCTTTATCCTTGTCTCCACGCTTCCTGTTTTGCTTCTCTCTATATGTAAAACTAAAATAAAATCATCCTTCTAAAGATTTTAAGGTTGGGGATAATTTAGCTACCCCATGAATGGATTCCCATTTCTTACAAGATAAAGTCCATTAACTGAAGTCACATTAAAACATCTCTGACCTATTTCCCATCTTCCATTCCAGTCCCATCTTCAACTCCTTGCTTCCATTCCTTCAAGCCTCACCTCATGCCCCACATTCTACAGTCATTTCTGACCCTTTCTCAAACAAGTGCTCCTTCTCTCTGCTCCCACACTACCTTATGTAACTTCTACCTCTATCACACCACTTGCTATCTCCATAGTAGGCTGTGAACCGTTAGAGGAATGGGACTGAGTCTTTCCTGCCTTTAAATTCCTAATACTCAGCATCATGTCAGGTGAACTGGAAGTGCTCAATAAACATGTGTTGAGTGAATGAAACAATGAATAAAATGAGCTCTTTGCTTGGGTCAATGTATCTTTAAAGAAAAAGCTGAAGAGTTCAGTTCAACAATTATTGAGACCTTCCTATACACAGTGCAGGAATCAGAACTCAGTACTTTTCCACTATACAGTCACCACTACTGATACAGCCCTGTAAGTACAATGATGGCAAGCACAGGCTCTGGTATGAATGTTCGTATTTCAGCTTCACTAGTTACTAAATGTGTGATCTTGGGCAAGGTACTCAATCTCTTCCTGCACCAGTTTTCTCCTAAGATAAAAATAATAATAAACATCTCATAGAAAATTTTTTTGAATTTTATTTTATTTTTTTACATATCAGGTTCTTATGAGTTATCCATTTTATACATATTACTGCATACATGTCAATCCCAATCTCCCAATTCATCACTCATAGAATTTTTGTTACAAGTTAAAGGGATAATACACGTAAAATGATAAGAACAATGTCTGGAACATATCACATACTCTAGAGTTATTAAAAATTATTTCAAATATTAAGAAGGCTCTGGATAGAATATTTGGGCCTTACTTGGAAGTTTTCATTAAAAACAAACATGAAACTAACCTGCAACTCCTCTGGGGAAGAATTCCAGAATTAGGAACATGATTAGTTAATCTTGAATAAACGACTGCTATGACCCTGATGATGCTCTCACCACTCCCTAAACTCAGTATTTTTCTCCCAATCCAAGTTCTTAGTCTCACTACCCAGCCTTTTGTCCTCTATATTCCTAGTACTAATCCTTCCCCTTTGATGTCTGAGGGATTTTAGGAAACTTTTTTTTCACTGAACAATTGAGCAAGGGGAGATGTAGATATAGGTATATTTACTTCTCTCTGAAGGAAATCTCATTTCTGCTCCAACCCAGACATAGGTGATTACTTAAGTTGATTCCAGCCCATAAACAATCAGGAAGGACTGGGAAACCTCCTACAATCAGAGCAGTCCTATCCTGCTCTGCAGTTTTCTCTGCCCACACAAAGCCAACACTATCCCCCCTTTAAAGCATTTCATTCATCTCTCTGGCCACATCTTGGGTGGCGGAGCGCTTCCACCGTGTTTTGGTATCCTCCATTTCTTCCAGATCCTTCGGGTTGTTTTCCACAGGGTCGGTGGCATCCATCTCTTCTGACGCTACTCCTGCCTCGAGTCCTCTTTTAACAGCCTTCAGGAAAGAGAACATAAGTCGGAAACAGTAAGATAAACAGGGTTGCTTCTTCTTAGGCAAGGTGGTAGTGGGGTCCTCTCGTCACCCCCAGACGTCAGTAGCAACGGAAAGGATCCCTAAATAAGGTCCTCGACCGCTCCGCCCCGAAACACCAAGGGCCCCGGAGCGCAGGCGCCCCAGAGCCCCGCCCCCGGTCCAGAGGCTCGGCCCCTATTGGCCCAGAGGCCGGGGGTGGACCGCCCCAGTGGCTGAACAGGGGGTGATCATGTGATTCGCGGGGGCGGGGCTGCGCCGGCCGCTTCCCAGCCAGACTGAAAGGGCTCGGGTAGCCGGCCTTGTCGGCCCTTAAAGAGCCCCCTGGATGGCCTGGCCTCAACTGCCCTCGCCGAGCCACGCAAAGGGGGCTGCTTCTGGTTCTCGTCGGCCTCTCAAGTTGGCTTTCCTTCTTTTCCCGAAGGTGGGCCCTTAGGTTTACCGCCCGGAGCCTGCGGCCGCCGGGAAACCCATACCCGAGTGTCCGGAGAGTAACCGGAAGTGCCGTCCCAGGCGGAGGGGCGGCGCCGGCTGCTGCCGTGGTAAGCGCGGCCCGCGGGGCCTGGGAGGGGCATGGCCTGCGGGGCCCAGGGCTCGGGGGAGGGGTTCTGCGGGACCCGAGACCCCCTCGGCCTCCGCCTGGTAGGAGCAGCCTCTGGTCCTCGCAACAGAGCGGGGTCTGGGACCCCCCCCGACGGCGACTGAAAGGAGGTCAATGAAAAGTTGAAGGAAGAGAAGCTTAGTACTATCGTTCCTGGAGATAATAGTAAACACTGCCAGGCACTTTTCTAAGTGATCTAAGTGTATCTTTCACTTTGGGGGAAAAAAAAAACAAGGACGTTGAATGTTCTCCACCCACCGCCCACCCCTATCTTTAAGGCAGAGATTGGTCATGTTGCATCGAAGCTGTATGCAGAAAAATCTGGTTTGTTTAATCATTCCATAACCATTTTTGGAAACCGGCATTATATATAGCTTTGTATCATATGCACTTATCAACTGCATCTTGAGGTTTATAGTGGTAGAAGAATGGGTCATTGATCTCAGAAGTTGAGGTAAGAGTTGAAACGAGTAGAACAGGACTCAGGGCTTTATTATGAAGTTAAGGTTAGTCATTACCCAGAAGGATTCTCAATGTTTTGTCTAGAGCTGTTTGGGAAGGAACTGATGGCTACCAGTGGCAGGTGCTTCTTGCAGGAGAAAATAGAATGTAGGGA